ACCTTTAGGTTTGTTCTTTTTGTCTGCACTGTCTGCACCAATTCAGACAGTGTAATAAGTTGAAGTGAAACAAACGTATATCTGTTTCATTTCAACTTATTGCACTGTGGGCACAGTGCAGAGAAAAAGAACAGGCCTTTTATGTGTCTAGGTATAGGTATAGAATACCCCGCTCAGTTCAAATTTTGATAAAAATACACTTCGACGCGTTTCTGCATGAAACGAGCAAATCTGGTAATAAAAAGTGTCGCTCTGCCCTCCGAACCGAGACATTTTTGTAAAGCAGACAAATTTGTGTTGTGGCTACAGCGCATGCGCATGTGACCAATATGTTATGTCGCTGCTTTCTCGATATGACGGTTTTCCTAACCTCCAGTTATCAACTTTAACACTAAATATCTCGGTTCGTAAGGCAGAGCGACACTTTTTTCTGCCAGATTCTTTCGTTTCATGCAAAAACGCATCGATTGAGTATATTTTTAATTTGAGAGGAGCGGGTTCTTCTTTATATTTACCAAAATTGGATCTTCTTTGCGTTATATAGCCCAAAGGTTAGGGCTGAAGACGCTTTAAAAAAAAAAAAAAAAAACTGACTCTTAGGCTAATTTTACAATGTGCTTTTTGTTTTCTGTTTCTTGCTGTTTGTCTCTGTTTGTCTCTTGCCTTTTTGATCAAGAAGGCAAGAGACAAACAACAAGAAACAGGAAACAAAAAGCACATTGTAGGATTAGCCTTAATATCTTGGTTCACGAAGCCGTCCTAACGTTTTTTCTTACAGATTTTTTCGTTTTGTGCATCGAATAAACCTAATTTCATCAAAATCGGAGGTGACGACCGTATTTTAAATAATTACCGTTTCTTCTAAATGTATATGTTAAAAAACGTGGTAACACTCCATAAAGTTTTGGAAAGTATTGTTGCTTCTGCCTAGAAATATGTTTGCTCACATTCGACAGAAATTACTGTTTAATACGGTAGTTAAGTATGGCAAACAGAGAAAATATAGTATATCAGCTGCCAGCAAAATTAAAAATGATCCTAAAGATGTAGAACCGATATATCCATCCATCAAAGATTTAAGCTTTAAAGCCAAGTTTAAAAAGTATAGGCAAGCTTGGTATGATGAAATCAAGAACTTAGAAACTGTGGAGGAAAAGCAATTCAAAATTAATATGCCACGTTATTATGGCTGGAAATCACTAATCCTAAACGAACATTTTATACCGTATGATGCTTTGTCACATGCACAATATTTTACAAGAACACATATTGTCAAGGAATCTGGTTTGCCAGCATATTACAGTACTCTAATTTCTATTGAACAATTAGATAGAATAGTGCAATCAATTAAGAGTGACATAGAGGATAACATAGTTTTTGAACATTGTACCAGAAGGTAGGTATTTCTATAAATTAAATATGTTTTCTTTATAATATAGTATATAAGTGTTAAAATATATAAGTGATATAATATATAAGTAAAAGATATAAAATAAATTTTACTGTTGCCGAACATTTAAAGTTATCTAACATTGATAATGATCTGATAGGGATTGAAACATTTGCTGTTTTGTTTGTTTGCTAGCAATTAATATATTATAATGTTTATTTACTAACGCTTTTTTATCTAGTAACCTTTGGCTCATTGCTCTTTCCTCTTTTGATATTTTTATATAAGTGATAATTAATTATTTAGATAAAAAAATAAGGGCAAAGAGCCAGTAATATAATTATATTACTGGCTCTTTTCTTTATTTTTTATTTATATTGTTTTATACTTATACAGCATTATTATTATATTAATTAATTATTCACTATTGATATATATGTATATATATAAAAAAGCTTAAAATAATTCATACATATATATATATTTTATTAGTATATTATAATATTGCAGAAGAGAGCATGAAATGAAAGCAGATAAATTTCCATTGGATGAAAACATTAAGGCTATAGATAGAAAAGTAAACATGGAAGAAATTATATCTAAAGCATTAATTCACAGAATTAACAGAACAATGCTGATACATCTTTCCTCTGAAAATCCACATTTATTACATACTGAAGTTGATTTTGAACCAAGATTAGAAGCATCTTGGTTCATGGGTGGTTTAAATCCTCCTAATTTTGTAAAGAAATTCAGAAATTCTGTTAAATTTATGAAGGAGTTTGTTGATGATCCAGTAAATTTACCTGTTCAATATATTGGTCAGCCTATCATGCATTTGAGACATAAGCATCCTTTGCGAGAGATTATTCCCTTAAGTGATTGTGAAAATCCAGCTTTTGAAGTACCCACATTTAAATTAAATCCCAAGGTGTTGAGTTATACTCTTGAAAAGAAACACTTAACTAATATACCTGGATTTTGGCCTGGCGATGAAAATGAATTTGGACTTTTATCATATCATAACTGCACATATTTGCAAACAAGGCCAGAAAAGTATAATGACACATCTACAGCACTCATGGTACAGGCTGTATTAGCATCTTACAGCTGGTTATTATCGCAAGCCTGTTATCAAGGTACTTTTGTAGTTAGAGTTGGATTAGATATTAATTTATATAAGTTATATTAGATATTAATTTGAATTTCGACTTTTTACATGTCTGTAAAATTTCAGGTTTCTCTACTTTTAATGATATTACGTATCCATTAACTACTCAGACGATCATAACAAATGGACAATGGTGGTCGTTTTTTGTCTATCAACTTAATACCACTTTAGTTCATTCTGAGTACGCAGATGAAAATCCAAAGCGCAACATATGTTGGATTACAGAACCGATAAAGTTATTTGATAAAATAGAAAATGAGAAAGTTTATGGTTTAAATGAAGAAGTTCTCAAAACTTTAATTAAATTTTACATCAATATTCCTGAGGAAAGGGTAGGAATAGACTTAAAACCATATTTAGGGAAATCTGCGAAAGTAATAGCTGACATAGAACATGATGAAAGAAGAAACTGGATGGAAAAACAATATAAGCATCTAGTGACTAACAGGCCAAGACACAGGTAAAATAATATTAAAGTTATTTTAATAACTATGTATATATGTATATAAAATATTAAGTTTTAAAGACCAATGTAACAACATAACTAATACGAATACGAAGCCTGTAACAATTTAATTGGATCTTAGTTGCTTGTAATTAGAATGTTATAGGCTTCGTATTCATATTAGTTATATGTGTGTGCGTGCGTGCGTGCGTGTGTGTGTGTACACATATATACATACGTACATTCATATAACTTATATACAGAATGATAGAGGCATTTAAAACAGGTCACCTGAATAACTCACTTGTTCTTAACAATAGAAGAAAAAGTGTCAAACAAAAGTTGCTTAGTTTCGAGGGGTACATAATGTGATATCAATAATTATTTTGTAGGTGGAAGCATAAAGGATAGGCAAAGGTCAAATCTGTTTTTTAAAAATGCAATGATATTTTTTTATTTACATTCTAATAGAGCATTTTAAGACGAATACAGACCTATAATTGAAGGTCATTCAATGTTACGCAAGGTCAATGATGGAAAATAAATTGTTTCAAGACACTTCGAATAATTTTGTGTCTTCTCTGCTTGTTGGTATATATTGCAAAATGCGTTATACGAAACCGGAAAAAGTCAATATGATTTTCATCTATAATGATCTATATATTTCGCAAGACACGCACTTTGATCGATAGATGAATTCAAATTGATCAGTAAATATGGTTAATGCTATGCGCAATTTAATGTTATTTGTATGTATTTACATACTGTGATACACTTAAACGATTAGTGGTATACCAACAAGCAGAGAAGACACGAAATTATTCAAAGAGTGCCTCGAAATAATTTATTTTTCATTAAATTATTTTCCGTTATTTGTAATCCTTGTGTAATCTTGAATAACCTTCAATTATAGTTCACTGTATTCGTCTTAAAATGCTCTATTAGAATACAAATAAAAAAACATTATTTTATTTAAAAAAACAGATTTGACCTTTGCCTATCCTTTCCGCCTCCACCTACAAAACAATTATTAACATCATATTGGTTACGGTCCACCCGATGCTACAAATGCTTTGAAGCATTTTTCGTTTGGTCGATTAATACAGTTTCTTTTTCCGATTGGTCAATCAAAAGTTTCGAAGCATTTGTAGCGCCAAGTGAACCGCACACATTATGTGCCCCTCAAAATCAAGCAACTTTTGTTTGATACTTTTCCTTCTATTGTTAAAAAGAAGCGAGTTAAGAAGCTTTTTTTCAACAATAAGAGGAAAAGTATGTATATATATATATATATACACACACACACACACACACACACACACACACACACACACACACACACACACACACACACACACACACACACACACACACACACACACACACACACACACACACACACACACACACACACACATATACATACATACATACACATATACACAGAAAATTACTATTTTTAATGTTAACTGATAGTAATAAAATGAAAGCATTTATATTTATTAATTTATTATATCTTTTTTTTTTAGACGAATACCGGAAATATATGATTGGCAAAAAATCTATATTATTAAACATAAAACTCGTCCAATGGACAAGAAACGAGAACCTTGGGAATTTGGCATTAAAATGTACAAACGCAAATTAGATGATCATCAACCACCTTATATACCAAGACGTTTACGACAGAATCCTAAAAAGAGACATATAGGACGATGGTCAAAAACGTACTATCCATAATTAGAAGTACAAATAATTATTATTATATTGAATTAAATATAATAGCGATTGTATAAAAGATAATTATTAACTTTTATTTTAACGTCTATAATATCGTGCAGCATACAACTCCATATAACATGCAATCTTTGTTCCTTTGTAAAAAGTTCATGCAAATTATGGGACAATGTTAAAGTTCTATGATTTTAATTTTTCTGTAAAAAAAGCAAAGACTTGCATATTTTTTATTTATAATTTAGTTACAAGTTTCTGTATTATTCTTGCGCTAAATACAATAATGTATTGAAAGACTTGGCAGGTAAGTTTACATTTACTACGTTGTTTTTGTTCTTGTCTTTTACTGTTATAGCAGTAGGAGTACTAGCTCTGTAACACAAAAATTCGAAATTATATGTTTGTTTTAAGTCTAATAAATTATTAGAAAATATAATTATAGTAATTTAAAATAAAGTAAAAGAAATTAAAAAGTAATGATTAAAATAATTAGAAAAAAATTAATCTTTTTAAATAAAATATATAAAAATAATTATAAATTTTTTTCTCTGAAAAATTTTGTTATATGTAATGTGACGGTATAAATATATTTTCTACTAACTTGTTAACAACCACAACAACAACATCTTGTTCGGGCGTCAAGAACGCTATCGCTTCAATGTGTGGATTGTCTTCAAGACCTACAGATAAAATTCTGTAAGAGTTACATGGCACAAATTGGCTGAAGTGAGAAATCGCATAAAACATAGGCTGCTTGTAGAATTCGTCTGTTTGCGGCATTACGATGATTGGTGAATCCACATAATTTTTTGCCCAATTTGGTGCCCCATGTTCATTGAGCGCTATGTTCCAATCTATCCATCCAACCATCCAATGCGATAAATTCTAAAAATATATCGTATTTGTAAATCTTATAATACATAATTCAAAGTACTTTTATATATTACATATATAATTAATATTATTTTCATCTATTACATACTCAAAACTATCTCATGCTGCAATAAAATTTATTAATACCAATAATATCATCAAACGGATTAATCAAATAATATGTATTTTTCTTTTTTTTTAAATTAAATTCCAGTGCCTACAAGTTTTTGTCATACGTTTATAATTAAATATGCTTAGCAGATTCTTATTTTGTAATTTAATTGAAAATATTCTTTATATTAGGCAAATAAAGTTAAAAAGTAGATGAACGTGTTTGGAATATAGATCGATTAGTATCGTACATATGTGTATACAAACTTCGATTATATTTGAAGCATATTTTTCTCCTCGGTCCCATGATCCTAATATTACTTTCTCTTTATCTAAGGGACTGCTACCTATGAGATAAAAATTATATAAATTTTTTAGTTTTTTTCTTAATTTTTAGGAAGACTTTCTTGCATGCATGCAAGTATATCTTCTATTATTTACTATGATGTATATAATCAATTGTACTTACCGGTGCATGCTTCAGTCATCAATATAAACTTATCTGGATATTTATCATGCAATTGAGACAGTCTAATCGGTGAAAATATTTCATCTGCATACCAATGGACCGCAGTGCCAGAGAACAGTTCTTTAGCGTTTGGATACTCGAACATCGACTCGGTAAACCATGGAACTTCGAAACGTTGATCGTCCATCGCTATGTAGAAGGGTTTATATCCAGCATTAGCCAAAGTCGGAGCTAACTGATTCACGACCCAAGCTGCTGATGTGGTAGGCGTCCAAGCCATGGCATTGAAAATGAAGGTTGGGATAAATCCATCTAATGGTTCGTTGCCAGGTGTTATACCCCATATATTTATACCACGTTCTTTATACGCGTCAAAGAACTTTGTGATATAATCAGCGTAAAGTTGATAATATTCAAGTTTTAAAGCACCTGTCGAGATTATTATGTATTACGATATCTCATATTTAATTATTCTAAAAGGCCTATAATATTATTTATTTGTAAATTTTATATTTATAACATATAAGATTTAATATTTAAATATTGATTAATTATTTGTAAAAATAATGAAAAATTACAAGACTCTTGATATTCAAATATAACAAAACGATACAAAGACAAATGAGAATCAAATCGTAATAACAAGAAATATCTTCTTAAACAAACGCAAATATATATTAGTATAAAATTGAAATATTAAAAATTATAAAGTTGGCGTTACAAAAATATAAAATATATTGTTCATGTACAAATTTATTATATAAATAAATATACGTGAAAAATATATTTTATATTTTTGTAGCGCCAACTTTATAACTTTTAATATTTTAAATATATTTTATACTAGTATATTTGCGTTTGTTTAAGAAGATATCTTTTGTTATTACGATTTGTATTGTTTTGTTATATTTATTTATTTGTTTTTTCATTAATTTAAAAAAAAAATACACTTTAATTTATTTTTTAGTTTATTATTATTTGACTCATACATATGTATTTTTTTGTATTTTGAATATTAAGAGTCCTGTACTAATTCATCTATTTTTTAATTATCCTAGCATGTAGTGCTTAATTAATATTATAAAGCAAAATGCAATAAGCACACATCTACAAATAATTTGAGAGAAGAGAAGACGAAAATATTGAATTATGAAAATAAATATTTTGAAAATAAACATCATTTTTGTAGCATTGATAGCATTGATATTGTTGAAAACCTAATTTTTTTTTTAGAAAAACATCAAAATTTGTAGAGAACGAAGTAAAATGGACCGATCAAGTTTAAAAAAAGTTTACATAGTTTATTTATATACTTTTATGCTATCCCGGTTCGTTCACACAAATATGAATCTTGTTTTTATTTTTATTTTTCTTAATTTCTCAAGTTGAATTAACTCTTGATTTTTTACTATTAATACATATCTATTATTAATTCATAAAACACGTGTACAATGTAGGTATGTGAATGCCACATATATGACATACATAATTATCCATATTGAGTGTAGTCAATATTAGCGAATGTGTGCAAAGTTGATGTGTATATATTTGCCATATTATCTGGAAGCGTTATAACAAGAATAACTCAAAATGATTATGGATTCTTATGTTTAGTGCTTAATTTTTTTGATAATAAATACTACTGTTTGCTTTCGAAATATGACTGAGAGTCCACTTGACGTTACAAATGCTTCGAAGCTTTTGATCGGGCAATCGGAAGAAAGAATTATATTAATTAACCAATTAAAAAAAGCTTCAAGGCATTCGTAGCATCGAATGGATCGCAGCTTGAAGGCGCCTCCAGCATGGCCAATGTACATCAACTTTAGCAAATTTCATACATAAACATGACATATATAATTAACCATATTAAATGTAATCAATATTTAGTGAAGTGTGTAAAGTTGACGTATTCATTAGCCATATCATCTGGAGGCGCTTTGACTCAAAATTAATATATGTGGTGAACTAATATCTTTTTTAACGTTTCTTAACTATCAAAAGTATTATATTTTAAAATTTTTGACATTTAAACATTGAAGCGGTATTTGCTATCGTTCAAAAATAATGTTTATAAATAATGTAAAGTTTTGATTTTAAATTAGTTGATTTATTTCCTATCTCATTTTACTTTATCTCTACCTTTTTTACGTATTAGGATTATATAAATATATAATATTCTATTATAATAGATTCTTGTAATTATAAGTAATTAACTTTTACAAAATTTTAATAAAGATAAATTTTCGTAAATTATTAAAATTCAATATTTTAGTCACATAATAAATATTTTAAAGCTTTCTCGTGCAAATTTTTTCCTGGTTAATGCAGGATATTGCCTCATCCAATATTTCTTTACCCCAAGTTATTTCGTTACTGGTTTTCATCCACGCAGGCGCGCTCCATGAAGTTGTTAATATTTTAAGATTGTCTGGATTAGACATAATACTCTTGATATAGTTTAGATATCCGATTTTTAAGTCATCTTCTTCCACAAGTTTGAAGTGACTTAACGTAAGATCGTTGGATACGTCATCGTATGTATATGGTCTCGTCGAGAAATCAGTACCTGCGATAGGTATACGAGTAAACGTGTATCCGATACCGGTGGAACCAAAATACGACCTAGAAATAACTATACATGAGGGGCTCTCATTGAAATGAAGAATTTAATTCAGTTATAGATAAATTTACGACAATTATATAAAACTCGATACATTGTTAAATCATTTTATCCGAATATAGAATTGCTATGTTTCATGTTTCAGTAACAATTAACGCTTCTATACTTGCATGAAGTGCAGTAGCACTTCGCTCAATTTTAATATCATAGAAGTATTTATTTTACACTATAAAGAATTTTAATTTATGCTTCTAATTCATTTTCATTCTATCAGATGAAGAGATAATGAGATTCTATTATTACGAAGAGCAAAATTAATATGCTTGAAAAATTATTCTATAATTATTTTATAGAATTATATGTATTTGTTATTTAATACATGCATATATGATTAATATTAATATTTAATATATACCTACATATATTATTAATATATATATATATATATAATTAGGAAAAACTAGCTTATTTTTTATTAGAAGCCTTTAATTGCCTTCTAATTGGTTTTTGTATATTATTTCGAATTATTCTCAGAAATTGTTTTAAGAGATCTTAATATTGCAGTAGAAGAGAATTTAAGAAATTTAATTTAGCTTTATAAAACAGAAACAAATGCAGGGCAGAATAAATTTTAATAACATTTATGATGCAAGAGGAAAAACTCAATCTATTTTTATCGTTCTGACATAATTATATGATTTATTGTATATGATAATACTGTGCTATAACCATCTGTGTTTCGAAAAGAACAGCGCAGAAGAATAAATATTAAAGATTAAGGAGTTTTTGGAATACACCGTTTTATCCAAATACGGTGAATGCTAAGGTAGTCATCTTTTTTTCACAATTAATTAAGAAAAGGATAACATGACTTTAGCGTTCACCGTATCTGGATAAAAACTATTGCAAAAGAGTATTGCAAAAACTCCCTATTATTGTTGCAGAAAGAAACATATATTTAACATGCTTGTCAGGTTTCACAGAAATCGATGAGGGATAATAGCCTCCCCTTGTAAGATTTAATTAAACCCTAAACACAATTCGAGCGAAATAACAATAGCGATAACAAGAGCAATAAAAACAGAAGAACCTAACATTCGGGAATACATATCTCAATGCACATAGGAACACAGAATAAGATAATAGCAATAAATTTTCGATAAGTTGGAATTCTGTGTCTATATTGCCTTATAGCTTATTAGCGCTCAAATTTTTTATTCTATTTATGTATGCTATAATCTTAAAGCAGATGAAAGAACACTGAAGAGTTTTTAATTTATCGATTGATCAATTGCATTGTGTATAAAGATAAATTTGTTTTGTAAAAATTTGCCCATAATACAATTAATCAATTGATAAATTAAAAAACGCCCTATATATACTATAGTCTATATGCGATTAGTTGGAATTTAGATTAATTGGAATTTTTGTTTTTCGCGGCATTGTGCAACGGGAGGCGATAATTATATATATATATATATATACATATATATATATCGCTTATTTCTATACTATTCCTACAGTATAATAGTTACAATATAATAGTTGAATCAAATGTCTATAATTTAATAAATATTCTGCTAGGACTATTCAAAGAAATATTTATTAAAATTTAGTAATTAAAGCGTATTCTATTACAATTTCTTCACTCTATCCAAAATCGTATATCCGCGATGCATTTAAACTCGTTCCAAAATATGACGGGCATAACATTCCCATTTGGCAATTCGCGCGTGCTTGCAAAAGAGCTAAAGATTCAATTCCGCTAATAGATGAAGCTTTATTCGTGAAAATGCGTCGCAATAAATTATCTCATCACGCGTATCTCGCCGTAGAGCACGAGAGTAAGAACTTCGCAAGTAAATTTTTTTCTCTATGTATTGCTGTTTTTGTCGCTGTTACTTCAGTGCATTGTGTCTAGAGCTTTATTCCGTTCCCCAATCTTGTTTTTTTACGATTAATATTATCGCTTTGCATTCTTAATTAATATAGTAATAGTGCCAATCACACGTACTCAAATAACATCTGTTGAGTTTCATTGCTGAGATTTTTAATGTTGAGTGCGGCGGCGTCAGTCATTGCCCCGCCAAATCCTTCTATCTTTTGAAACTTCTCACTAATGTCCACTGTAAGAACCAGATTGATTTTGGATTCATTTTTGGCAGTAAAGTTCACAACGGAAGATTGCATTCTTTTGCCATCCTGAGTGGACGTGTACCATAAAAGCTGGTTCTGTTGTAATGTTTGTTTGTATACTGTATCACAATACGTCGAGTTACAAACGCATACCATACGATTGGTCCCGAATGAACGTGGTATACATTCATCTCCTGTAATGAAAAGAAGAACGTTTAATTGTATGTTTTGATACTTAAATTGTCATGCATGTTTTTTTAATTGACACATTGTTTTTTTAGAAAAATCGAAGCTTTATTCAAAGCTCTCCCATGTATTCAAACATGAAACTGTATAACTATCTTTGTAACTGTAATGTAATTATGTTAATTATTCATTAATAAGTATAATTATCAATTAATAAGGTATTATTTTCCTCTATACAACATAGAAAGAGCTCTATACAAATAAAGATATCAATTTATCTGTCTATACCGAGAAGAATAAAAAAATTGCTTATTAAACTATTTCGTAAAATTAAATTCATTTATTTTAGTAAATCTGCACTGTGCTGATTGTACGCAAAAATTGTAAGCGAGGAAGATGTCTATTTTTAAAGTATTGTAAGTACAATTTCGAAAATTTTTCTGAAATCAATATATCGCTGCAATTTATACTTGACAAATCGTGACGTTGCGAAACTAGGCTCATATTACTTTCAAAATAAGTTCAAAAGCGGAAAAAGTAACAGATAGGTAATAATTATGTAAAGTAATGCGTCATAAGTGTAAAATTAGTGTAGAATTAACATGTAGTACGTAAAATAATAAATAGATAACAATTTTATAAAAAATATTTTCTATATTGTAAGTAGATTTCTTCAATTTTTTTCTTTTTATAACAGTATCGTATGTATTTTTTCGAAATAGTGAACATAATTATTTTGTAAATTGAAAACTGTATTTATTAAAATTTAAAAAAGCTATAAGTAATATGACAGCTATAATATTGATAACATTTAATAATGTTTGTTTTACTTGAACATTTTTCATTAACCGCAAAAGATTTCGAAAAAGTTCTGTGTTTAAAAATAAAGTAATATCAAATATTGTTTTTAGTATGCATACCTTTCACTGCGACCAAAATAGTAATCAAAATTATTGTGCACAGCATTTTGAATTATTATGAGGAACACTTCTTAATCTGCAAATAAAGTAATAAAGTACATGCGTATCACTTTTTTATATGTTGCATTATACATATGTTTATTTTAATTGATTAACATCTGTGACAACACTGTGTAAAATCAGTCAACAGATAATTAAAATTTATTTATGATTTAAATTTTTAGATATTAATTGACATTATGTTATATCTAAAACCTGCTTGTGTTACTTATATTATATAAGAGGATCTTTCATTTTCATATCTAGTAACAATTTTATTAGTAATTGTCTTTGTACAACATATTGTATACATCTTGTACACACACACACACAATGTTAAAAATCTCTAATTACATCTAATTATATATCTCAATATTTTATTACTCTTATATTATATTAAATAGCGATATTAATAATTTAATTTAATTTTGATTATTATATAAAATCAAGAAACATATTGATAAGTGACTTTTTTAACACTATTTATTTTCCTGTAGCTATGATTAATTGCCTTTTCTTTAATTATTTATTTTGATTATATTACATACCTATTTAAATTACATAAATTTAAATATGCATTTAAGCTAAATGAAACTAAATTTTGATCTTTGAAAGATCAAAAATAGATCATTATACTGTAAAAATCATTAAAAATGGAATGCTTAATCCTTCATAGTTATCGTGAGTCAAAATGATCTGCGCATGATATAAGTTATCTCAAGAGTATTAAGCTAAAATTAAAATTTATAAAGTTATATTTTTTAAGTCAAATAGTCTCATTTTTTGAGGTTAACATTTATGATTTTTTTAGCGTTAAAATTAAATTTTTCACTACAATACTATTTGAAAATATATATATTTTTTGAAATTTTTTAAGTCAATAGAACTAATACTATCGATTTAATAACACTTCAAAAATGGTTTGAGTCATTTTTATACACCCAGAGTAACCATATGACCATGAAGGATTAAACTTGATACATAGATACTTCTATTTATGTATCAAATGAAATGTAGATACATAGATACTCTTAGAAGCATGAAAATAATAATCGTAACGAATTCTAACATTTTAACAATCCTTCTTTCTATTTTTTCAAGTTTAGTTCTGTTTTTTAGTTTAATTCTTTTCTTTTTAGTTCAATTCTTCTTAATATATAATCTTAATATATAATCTTTATATATAATCTTAATATATAATCTTAATATATAATCTTAATATATAATCTTAATATATAATCTTATATAATATAGATTTGTACCTCAGTATTGTCGAAAGTCCTGCTATTCGTAGAGCAGAAACATTACTGTCGTTTATTCGTTAACGGTATGATGATGACTGAAGAATAGTGCGACATTAGTCATTCGTGCGTGCCTATCGGAACGTACAATAATGTTTCCGATAAGCTGTCGGTAATGCATTTATCAGTAAATTTTAATAAATGCACATTTTCTTAATTTAGGAAACTATCCTTTTTAAGGAAATACAAATTGTTCTTGGTATGATATGTTTAAGAGATTACTAGTTTACATTCAAAAATTATTTTGAACTAGGTCAGACGTTTTTCATAAATTTTGGGATATTAGAAATATAATATCGCAAGCCAAATTTCATCACATCAGGTTTTCGAAATAATTGACGTTAAGCAGTATATTACAAATGACTTTTATGTAAAAATTTTAACATTGTATTAAAAATTTAATCAAAAGTCGCAAATGTATTCTTTATTCTACTTAAAAATGCATTTTTTATTTCAATATCTTACTTTTTAATTATATTACAAAGGATTTAAATGTTGTCGAAAATTATAGCTTGTGACATCGTTTTGCAGTAACTAAAAATATATAAAATTATCTTACCTAGTTTAAATAAGAAAAAATAGTTTTGTAAATTGCTACTTCTTTTAATAATTTTTAGTAAAGCATTGTTTATAGACACGTTTGTCTGCAATTACGTAATGGGACAAATTAACATAATTCAGACAGACATAGATATAATAGATCTATGCAGTTATTTTAAAATTAAGTTAATTTACGGTCTAATCTACGGCTTAGCTTCAAAAACATTTCTTGCTACACTCATTATATGTTCTAACGAAATATGCACTTTTAAGAAGGTAGTTAAACAGAAAATTTTTTTATTTCTAAGAAAATATACAAGAAATTTAATATTTATAATAATTTTCTCAAGAATTTTATAGAAAACAATTTGTAACAGCACACACACATACACGCACACGCGCGCGCGCGCGCACACACACACGCACACACACACAAATATATGACCATGCCGCGCTTACAATAATATTTAATTTTGACAAATTTGAATTGCATAAATACATTGCATATATATACATATATATATTGCATACACACATATGTATATTAATTATATGTATATACATATACATATAATACATACAATACATATATTACATACAATACAGATGCTTACTTAGATTTTTTGCGTGTGAAAATATATTTATTATTAATATAATTTTAACTGAAACTAAAGCAATAAGTTTATAATTACTTTGTATTTATTGAATTAAAAATTTTACACACGACGTTCTTGTGTTGGCTCTTAATTGGCTATTATTTCTTAGTATATTGATTAAAGCAATAAGGAATTATTATAATAAAAAGAATTAAAGTATTTGTTTTATATTATAGTATTGATATTCGAAGAATTCATAAAAATGAGATATAAGTCTGCAGTGAGATATGTACAAATTATTAAATGATAAGTTATCAATAATGAGTGATAAATAATGGAGATATTCTCTATTTTTTTCTTGGCTATTTTTATAATAAATAACAATTAATTAATTTTCTTTCTGTCTCTTTCTCTCTCACTCTCTCTCTCTTTCTCAAATTTTATTAAAGTTCTATCACTCTCCACATTTTCAAGATTTTGTTCAGAGTGAGATCTATTGACTCCGACGAGATTGCTCCAAAGTTAATTTAATTGGTCTTGCTGGCAATGCCAGCTATTGAGCACGTATTTAACTTCTCTTTCATATCAATAAAGCTTTATAAACCTCTTATGCCGACATGTACAGGTCGTAATATTAATCTTTCTTTATGCTGCTATAGGCAATCTTTACAAATATCATTTCAAAATTTGACTTTGTAGGATGTAGAGCATGTCTATCTATTATAAAAAATTTGACGCTTCACTAGCGATCAAAATATTCATTAATTCAAAATAAACTCCAGAAAGCAATTTTTTTTGTTGCCATTTGTCTTTTCTAACATTGTATATTGCCTTTTTGAAACAACTTGTCTCAAAACGTACAATAAATAACGCTTTCTCTTTCTCACTCTCTCCTCATATAACATTAGTTAAATAAGTTTGATTATATCACGAGACGCGCGTGGTAGTGTCTCCGACCATGTTCAAAAACTGAAAGATACTAGAAGTCTCTTATTCCGAGCCACCAAAGTTCATTTTTCGGGCATAACCACTAAAATATAAAAAAATTTTGAATCGAACGTTATATGTTCTGAAAGGCGGCATCGCCACGAGTAATTTAAGCCAAAAAAATTTTAAATCGGTCAAGCCGTTCTGTGTGTGTGGTGATACAAGCGGTCGAAAAGTGATGATTTTTATGAAAAATTAAGAAACGTCTCCTTCTTCTCCTCCTTCTTCTCTTCCTTCTTCTCTGTCCGCATTCAAGGCCATATTAAAACTTTCTAACATCTCTTCTCATCTTTTACTCACACCTTCATCATATCTTCGACAAACCGCACCCCTCCCCCTCCCCTCACCACCCACCCCCACCAACCCCTCTTTCGCCGTATTTCACTTTCTTACATTATATAATATTGTTAAATCATTTTTTGTATATTTTTGAGTATCCTTTTTTGAACATGGCTTGAACTTTTCATTTTTATGATAATTATATAATCTTGATAAATAAATAATTGATTGGTAAATAATTTATACAAAATATTAGCGTTAAAAATTCAATCATAATTTACATATATACTAGCACATTCCTTGCGCGCGCTACGCGCGCGATGGTCCATTATGCTCTTTTTAAATATTATGAATTATGTTTCTTTGAAACTTGTTTTGAAATCAACAACTCCTCTAATTCCTACTAATACAAAATTTCCCTGAAATTTGAAAACCTTTAGAATTTCATTATTGTTTTCGATCGCCACATTAATTCTACCATTTTGATAAACAATATTTAGTTTATTTTTTTATTCACCGTTTATGTCGAAAAATTCGACCCACAGTGTAGTTGTGCTGGTTCGCGTACAAGAGTAAAGTACATTAAAGCAATTAATTGACGGGATCATTTTGATCTCAAAATGTTTCTAGAATTATTTGCTCTAAGAATGTTCACAATCCGAATTTTTTGCTCATCGTTTACGTCGAAAAATTCGACCCAAAGTGTAGTTGTGCTGGTTCGCGTACAAGAGTAAAGTACATTAAAGCAATCAATTGCCGGGATCATTTTGGTCTCAAAATGTTTCTAGAATTATTTGCTCTAAGAATATCCAGAATCTGATTTTTTTTGCTCATCGTTTACGTCGAAGGATTCGATCCACAGTGTGGCTGTGCTGACTTAAGACTAAAGTTGGCACGTCCATCCATTTTTCAAAGAAAAATAGCAGCAAGTGAAAAATCAAGTACATATTCTTCAAGGGCTTTTTTTTGCTAATTTAAATTCTACTTCAAAAACACTAAAACCAAAATCCCCCTTATATTCCATCCGCCAGATTAACGAAAACAGATTTTAGAAGACTGAATTAAAACGCCATTTTAAACTTTCAAATTTTAAATACGGATTCGTAACGAACGTCCCCAAAAACCACCTGTAACCAAATTTTACCAAAATTGAAAAATCTTTAGGATTTCCGTAACATTTCTGTCCGCCATATTAGATCAGCTATTTCGATCTTTCAATTTTTAAGTACGGATTCGTAACGAACGCCCCCTAAATCACCAATAAACCTAATTTCACAAAAATCGAACAATCTTTATGATTTCCGTTACTTTTCCGTCCGCCATATTGGATCAACTATTTTGAACTTTCAATTTTTGACTAAAGATTCGTAACGATCGTCCCCTAAATCACAAATATACCAAATTTCATCAAAATCGAACAATCTTTAGGATTTACGTTAATTTTACGTCCGCCATATTAGAGCCACTATTTCGAATTTTCAATTTTTGAGTACAGATTCGAAATAATCGACCCCGAAATTCCTCGAATACGAAATCACATCAAAATCAGAGAATTCCAACAGCCTCAACGAAAAGAGGCTTCAAAAAAGCGTGACACGCCAATTTTAAGATATGATGAATTGCGTATAATTTACAAAGTTACTCAATTGAATAATCATGTCTTTTTTTTCATAACTTTCTGCAGTTTCCTAATAGATATGTCGCACTTGTATAATATATAATGTAATATCTTCCTGGTACATTAGCTTAATAACTGACTATACCATCCAAAGATTTGCTCTACATAGATTTACGGACGTAAGGTTTCAGTTCAATTAGACGGCAATTAGCGTCAGTACTAGTCGGATGCAGTTAACCGTTTACTCGTGTTACGTCCGGTCGTATTATATGCATAATTGCGAAACATCTTTATCGTTTTGCGATTATGTGTCGCTATTATAATATTAAAATACAGTCTTTTATATCAGATGTATCTAAAATTCGTTACTTTCAATTTATTTTAAATTTCAATATTTTCTCAATGCACACACACACACACATCTTAAAATGTCATTATTAGATTTGTTCGCCTTGCTTATACTTTTTACATTAAGCATCTTTGTTTTCTTTCTCTTCGACGCCCGATATACATTTATTTCATTTTAAGTGTAAAAGTGTAAGCAAAGTCTAAGGTAAATAGATCTATTGTGTTCACAATACGCTACGTGATATGAAAGAACAAGCGACACACACACACACATATATCTAAAAAAAGAAAAGTAGTAACGAACGTGATAAAGTACGTAATATATCACATTTTTTGAGTAGTCGAGATGATCTATTCTGTTTTAAGCGAAAGTAACTTTATACAACGTGTAAAAAGTATCAAAGGTTTTTTTCTAAAAATTTTGATTTGAATGACAGAATGTTCCGACAAATCTTAAAAATTTGAAGATAGGTTACAGCAACTGTTAAATAAAAACTCTACATAGACTCAAGAGAAGAGTTGCACAATTTCAAGTCACTCGATAGATCATTTTTATCAGATTTTCGAATGAGAAAAAGGTTTAAAAGAAAGATGAATAAATCATATATCTTAAGTGCAGACAATAAACATCAACATATCGCTCACGC